GATGATGTCGTTGAATCTCCTCGAGCAAACTCGCTTGAATCACGAAGAGATTGAGAGATTGGAGAGATTGGTTGTGAAAGATCTAAAGACAGAACCGAAATCGAGCAGAGACAGATTGGTCCAGGGTCATCGTGTTCGTAACGTGATTGAATCGATCATGCTTAACACGAAGAAACTTGTTGAAATCTATGAAGATAAAGACGGATCTATGGAAGACGAGATCTCAAGAGCGGTCGATGATCAGACAAATCTGTTTTACGATCGATTGAGAGAGATTCGTGAATATCATAGAAACTATCGTTCTTCTTCTGTTGTTGATGACTTTGAAGGAGACTTTAAACCAGTGATTTCGTTTAGTGGTGAGGAAGGTTATGGTCGGTACTTGGATTTGCATGATTTTTATAACCAATACGTCAACTTTGTGCATCAAAAAGGTTGAATATTCTACTTTCCTTGATGTTTTTTCACAACCAGATCGTAAATTAAAGTTTTCTAATCAATACAGGAAGTATATGGATGGTCTGCTGGATTACTTGATCAACTTTATCAAGCGAACCGGGCCGTTGCAAGATCTTGGGAGGATATTTGCTAAGGTTGAGACCGATTTCGAGGAGCAATATGCACAAGGAAAAACACAGGGTAATGATAATGTCATTGATCTTGATTACTACACTCCAGTAGAGGAACTTATAGATTTGGGACCTGAAAAGTTAAAGGAAGCGTTGGGGTCATTAGGAATGAAAGTTGGTGGTACTGTGAAGCAGCGTGCCGAGAGACTTTTCTTGACAAAGCATACGCCTTTGGAAAAGCTCGATAAGAAGCATTTTGCAAGACATGAGTCTGAAAGCGGTGCTAAAAAGATTGCATTAACAGAGGCCAAAGTGAAGAAACTCTGTATTTTACTTTCTGAGACAATCAAAAGGACAAAAGAAAACATCGAAAAGAAATAGTCTTTGACGTATAAACAGATGGAAGAAGAACGCGAGGCAGAGGATTAGAAAGTGATGATGATGAAGAGGACGGTAAGGTATACAATCCGCGGAATTTTCCAATGGGTGTGGATGGGAAACCTAAACCGAATTGGCTCTACAATCTTCATGGACTTGGACAAGAGTTCAAATGCGAGATATGTGGGAACAATACCTACAAGGGAAGAAGAGCTTTTGAGAAACATTTCAAAGAACCGCAACACCAACAGGGTATGAGTTGCCTTGGAATCCCGAACACAAAAAGCTTTAACGAAAGCACCTCGATCGATGAAGCCAAAGTACTGTGGAAGAGGATACAAGAGAGGCAAGGAGTGAAGAAATGGAGACCGGAACTCGAAGAAGAATACGAAGATCGTGAAGGTAACATTTACAACAAGAAGACTTACTCTGATCTTCTACGTCAAGGTCTCATCTGATTTTGGGTCACATTCAATGGTTTTAGAGGGTTTGCTTTATATGATAATATTCTCTCTGTGTTAGTACCACTTCAGATCAAATTCTACCTTTCTGCCTTGTTTAATCAAAACCATTTTTCATCTTTTGTTAAGTATTGTCTCTTTTTCACATTTTTATTTCCGCATTAATTTTGAGTTGTTGAGAAAACAGTTGTAGAATTATTCGTATAACAATTATGCCACTACATTGTCTCTTTTTCATATTTCTTATCTGCCATATTTTTGTGTTCGACAATTCTTGATAAACAACTAATGTACAACTAAACATTGCGATATTTTGAATGATTAGTTTAGCTGTAATTGTAGATCAATTGATGTAGACTTTTGTCTGTAGATTTTAACGTTTTTCTAGACAAAAAGAGTAAAACACAAACAGAAAAAAAGTTGTAACTTTTATACGGAATCCGCTAAATCCATGGAAATAAACAAGCTCTCTAATCATAAACTAAGTAAGATTTCATTGTTAAATCGGCATACAACCATTTAAGTATACCAAATCTCAATGAGAACAACCAATATCTCCCACCCATGTTTCCAACTGCAACCATGTCTTTTATAAAAAACGATTGTTTAATCTAATTATTACTCATTTTAAACAAAATATATATACACTAATTGACAAACATTGATATACATCAAACAATTTATTTTACCCACCTTTTAGTTTTATCTTTCCAAGCCTCCACATATCTCTATGTGGATCAACTCGGTCGGAAGGCAATTCCGTAAGAGGGGTCCGCGCAGAACTTGTTAGATAACTCTAATTTCAACAAATCTGAAGATAACCTTCGTGTTGAGAATCACACCTAGGGTGTAGAGGAAACTTAAATTGTTTTGTGTCATTCACCAATTATAGACATTATGGTCACTTCTTTGTCTTTTGATTTGAGAGTGTTACCACTCAATAAGTTCTTGACACATGAACAAAATAGGCTTCTTCTTGTCCTTGAGCCTATTTATACAAACAATATCTATACAATCATACACTAATTAATTTTATGTTAACTAAGTTCATTTGCCAGAAAAAATTTAAACAAAATATATTAGCTCAGTTGCTTTTATTTTTTAAGGGAATGCAGTCGTATGAAACACTCAAATGTCGGTGTTATTTCTGTGCATAGGAATCATGTGGAATATGTAGGTGATAACTATAAATACTATCAAGTAATTCAATGTTCCATGCTTCATATTAGTGTATGTTGTGATTACACAGAGATATTACGAAATATGTATCACGTATGCAACAACAACTCTGAGGAGGTGATTAAATG